TGAATAAATTATCGAGTCTCCTAATTTTTAGGGATTGATGTCAATACCTCACCACCACCAACAATATATATATATATATATATATATATAACAATAAAAATGAAAAATAAGAGGAAAAAAAAAGAGAACGAGTAAAAGATAAAAAAAAAAAAGAAGCAAAAATATAAAAAATACCAAGGGAAAAACTAACAAAGTCTCCTATCAAATTGGGACAATATTAGCTCAAATTAATCACATATTCATGATTAGGTCATTCTTCGATATATCACTTATGTTGAAACTTAAACTCGAATCCGATTTTGAATTGATGAGACGCCTAATGGAGGAGTCCGATGATAGGTTCAAGATATAATAATAAATAATAATAATAATTTGGCTAAGGAAATAAAACTTGGAATTTTGATTTAGGAATAATAAAAAAAAAAAAACATTTTAGGAGATAAATTTTAAATCTAAACTAGACATGGTACCTTTCTTAGGAACAAATGCCTTTGCATGATTGATATCTTTCCAAAAGTATAACAAATTGCTTACCTTAGAATTTCTGAACTAATGTCAATTTTAAGACCTAATTCTTTTAATACTATGTGGTAACTTCAAAATTAATAAATAACTCTTACCCCTAAACAAACAAAATTTTCAAATAAATTAATAAACATAAATTTTTTATGGAGTCCCACAATGTTGTGTAGCGACATCATCAATAATGCTCATTATCGAAAACTCTATCATGTCAAAAGACAATATTAATCTAAATATTTAAGTTGTTAAGTGAGATTAAAAGAAATTAATTTATATTACTATCTAACTGTAACAGTTGAGATTTAAATATAATACATAAACAATTTATTTGTGTTAACCGTTAAATACAATTAAAATGACATCTATTTTACTATTGTATATTACAATATTTATTGATTGACGATAGGGGGTAAGAGTTTTAAATCTAGGCGTATGCATATGGATGCATAGTGATTAGTGTAGATGAGTGTCATGTGGGCTATAAATTGTGCGAGCTGCTGGTGATAATTCAGTTTCGTGGGTTAAGAATTAACTTATAAGTGTGTTGATATCCACTAAAATTAAGGTTTGCATGTTTGATATTCATCCGGATATATTTAGCGAATCATAAAATCGGGTAAAGTTAAGGGATTTTTTAAGTGATGGGTGTTTTTGGGTGGAGGAGCAGGAACTACGGCCAAGATTATTCTGAGTCGTTTCATCCTATAGATGCAATTCTACTAAACTGTAGCGCTTCAAATATGGTTGGTATAAATTTTCAACAGCTCCTTGTAGTTTGTGGAATTTTTTACCGAATCTCCCAAAATTTATGGTAATTTTCAGTATCTCTAAAGTGCTAATTATACTAGCTGAAATTCAAAGATTTCAAGAAAAGAAAACTTCCGTTGTTGGGTAAATTGAGAGGCACCCTAAAGTATTGTGGTGGGTTTATGATTTTCACAAACGATAAAACTATAAAATAAGGGTAAAAATAGTGAAAATTATCATTTCTCCACTAGAGAAGTTGTACACATAGATAGCAAGCTGAACAAATGTTTAATGCAGAACGATGTAATAACTTCATTTCATATGATTTTGTAATAGATAACATTAATTGGACACAAGCTTAATTTAAACATTGAAAATTAAGGACTATAGGAACAATCCAATACATAGATTATATCTATTAGAGACTAAAACAAAGAGATGTAATATATGTGTGATCAAGAACTAGCTTCTTAAGGATAAACTTCAATGAGAGATCTTAAACCCAGGATTGGGGTTATCTTAAAGTTACTGAAGCCGGCATCAGAGAATAGTTTAGCCCATTCTTTCTTGTTTCTTTCTTTTCCTGTGACCAAGGTCATCATCAGCATATCAAAGAAGAGCTGTGTCTCAGTTGACTCTTTTACCTCTTTGTTGTTCTCCACCACCATGTCTATGATAATCACCTTACCACCTTCTCTTCCCTTAATTGCCTCCTTGCATTGTTCTAGTATTTTCACACATTCCTCGTCGTTCCAGTCATGAAGAATCCACTGCTTATCACCAATAGCAAAATAAAAACATGTTAAAAGAGTTAATAGTCTAGACAGAAATAAACCAACAGATTTTCGCTTGTTTTTATGTTATGCATAGCTCATAAAATTTATTTTACCTTTAGAAGAATTGCGTCTGCTTGAGCAACTGCCTTGAACATGTCACCACCTTGATATTTCAAATTTTCACTGCCTTCCAAATCAGCTACCACATGTGGGAGATCAAAGACGGTGCAATCTAAGTGTGGGAATGCCTGAGCTATTGCCTTGGCCACAGTTCCAGTGCCACCCCCAACATCAACCAATGAATTCAACCCTTCAAAAACCCCCTTGCACTCATTTATCATCACACTCGTAACCAAACGAGCATCACTAGCCATGGCTTCATTAACCAAATGATTGAGCTTTGGTTCATGGCCGGCATACTCCCACAATGTCCTTCCATGGGCCGTTTCGAATGGAGAAGTAACATCATTTTTGAACCAAGCGCTCACGTAATGCCATGGTTCTGTTAAAATTGGATCAAGCATGGCTAGTAAGAATGGCGTTGCACTGAAAGGATTGTCCTTAATAAGAAGCTGAGAAGCATTGGTGAGAACATATCCTTCTCCTTCAGTATTTGCACCAATATTTTGTTTTGCAAAGAAACCAGAATGGACCAAAATGCTCATGAGGCGATAGACACAGCGGGCTTTGGTAGGGCGAATAGGTAAGACAGCAACAAGTTCAGAAAGAGACATCGGTTTGCCATGATTGTGGATTACATCAGGTATGCCCAGTTGAATCGCACATTTTAGAGACATTGAGTTTATGAAGTTGAAGATGTGGTTCCAAACGTGGGCTTGAGCTTGAAGTAGCTCAGCACTATGCACGTTTGCATTAGCCAAATACATTTCGATTAGGCTGTCGAGAGCTTATCTTAAGGTTTTAGTCTTTTAAGGTTTGATCTATCCTTTGAACTAGTAAGGTTCCTTTTAGAGTGCGTAGCCTATATATAGTAGTGGATGCGACGCTATTCAATCAAAGCAGAAGACAAAATACAAGATTAGGATCAAATTAGAGATGGACCAAAAACATGTTACACGAGGGCTGCTTAATATTATATTCAGGGTTAAGATCATGTTTCCTATCACGTGTCATGAGAATCGGTTATAGTAACATCCGACTATTCCATTGCCAGAAAGAGAAATTAAATTGAAAAGACAGCATTTTGGAGTAGAATTTAGTAATTGAGTACGGTAGTATGAATGGTTAAGATTGGTAATGTTGGTGGAATCTTCTTGTGATCGATGACAAATTGACAAAGGGATTCATTTACTCTCCAGTTTCCTCATTGTCATCATCCTTCAAACGTAGAGGTTGCATTATGCATGTTGGGCAACTACAAATAACGCAAAACACATGTTCAATTTCCAGCATGTTTGCATTCACTCATTTGTCACGATTGATCGAGGGTGTTGATCATCACTATTATATATCCTCAGCTACAAATTGGTGATTCCCAGCTGCAGGTTAATCTGAATTAATGAGTGGAATTGTTTTAAGATTTTATCTTCTTTCATTCTACGTACGTACAGTTAATATAGTTCTACTTTCTCAAATAAAACTCAATAACATTTTTGTTTAAAATTTAGATCTCCTACTTATTTTTATCAATTTCCCAAAATATATATATATATATATAATAAGAAAAATTAAAGAAACAAAGGTAATTAGCTATAAAGTACTTTGAGCAATTAGTCAAAAGAAAAGAAAATCCCTAATCTTTTTATTTTTTCTAATTTAGATCTCTAACTCTTTTTTTTTTTTTGTCTACAATTAAGATCACCCATCCTACTTATCAATCTCAAATGACATATAGAGTCATTAAAACAATGACACTTATCCTAATAGTCTTAAATATAAAATATGTATTGTTAATTTTTGGCTACACATGTATCCAATATGATCTAAGACTAGTAAAAAAAAAAATTAATTGCAAATCTAAAGAAAAATTAGAGTTCCAAATAGAAAAAAATATATTGACTTCTCTGTTATAATTCATCATATTTCACAACCAATTAGCCAAGAACAATTAAAGAGTTATTACATTTTTTTTTTTTTTTTTAATTTCGAGATCAGATATTGATAGAAAAAAATTTGTGAATGGTATAGATTTTCCTTGTGTATCTTCTCTAGCATTGATTTGATTTCTCCAAATTAATTAATGGCTAATAAGCGACAACTACACCGTCCTTTTCTTCAACAGAACCGTCATCAAATCAATGAATGGTATAGGGTTTTCGGGTGACTTGTGGTGCTTTATTAATAAATATACTCAAACAGAATGGAGTTTCATCCTAATTAAGTTCATCTACATTATTAAAACTAAAACAGCATCGTTTTAAACTTTTTCCTCGTAAAAGAATATATATATATATATATATATATTAAACTCACATGCTTAAAGAATTAATAATGGAAGTCGCGTCATCATGGGTTGTTTAGGCGTCAAAACAATAGTGTCACAATGAATTATTGCTCTAAAATTAATCAATAATAGCAGCTAGAAAGTGACAGTTAATTTACCCATTAAGAATGGAAATAGAACTCCTCATAAGCCAATTCATCTTTTGGTTGTTTCTTTTGTAGTCTTATCTCCTTTTTTATTCAATCCAATCAAACAAAAAGAATGGAATAGATCGAAAAAAATATAACACGCAAGGTCTATATTCAGGAAAAAAAAAAATGAATGAACTTTTAAACATAGAATAAAGAATAGCTAGTTAAAGAAATGAAAGCATTAATGGTTAACTATTACTATCAAAACCTACCCCTGCAAACACAACACAACAAAACAAAACACATTTTTGTGGCTCAAGGACACGAAATACACAGAAGGACAAACATGCTTTAAATTATTTTCTTCTTTGATTTTTTTTTTCCTTGTTACAAAGTTCCCCTATTGTTTTCCCTGAAACTATGTCTAACACAAAGAAAGAGTTCAAAGCAGAAAAGGTATTAAATAAAAAAAATTAGGATTTTAGATTTATGAACTCAGTATTTTTATTATAATGGAATTAGTATTTGAAGATGTAAACAATATTCATGAGAAACTAATCTAAAAATCAAATTACAATTTTTTTATAGAAAATACCATGTGCTAAATTTTACTCAAAATAACATTCCAATCTTAGTTTTTTTTTTTCCTAATCGTAGTTCTTTCTCTTATTTGTTATAAAAATATATATATATATGAAACGATGTTTCTAATCGTAGTTCTTACTCTTAGTAACTTCAGTGTAAATCTGCGTTTACATGGTTTGTGCTGTGTGAAGCCAGCTTGTATTTGCAATAAATTATATATTGTTGCTTTCAGCCATGGGCCAACATTATGCATTTAAATTCAAAGTGCTTCTTTTTATGAAGTCTTGCTTCCAATTTTTCACATGTAAAACCCCATATGAAAATGTTTCAGGCAGCCTGCTAGTAAAAATCTTCATTTTAGGAGTAAACCTGAAAAGGGGAGATCCTGAGACTGAAAATTTGACAAGAGTAAAAGCAACAACAGTTTCAACCACATGGTTTGCTCTACACAATTTGAGAATGCAATAATCATGCTGTCAATAGTTATGGATTGCATGCTGGAAATCATATATTTTGTCAATATAGTGAAACAAGTGGAAGCAATGCATCACAGAAACCAAATAATGCAGTATAGCATGCTGTGTTCTTTAGGTCCATAATTGCAAAACATTAACTGAAGACTATAGAGATTTCACTTTTGTGTACCATCTGCAGTGCCCAATTGTTTGCCATAAAGTTTTACTGGGTAGATACTGTCTGAATTATGATGCTCCCACGTTTTCTCAAAAGGTTCACTTTGAAGAAGAGCACTTCTCTTTAAGGTTTCTGACTTTGGTACAAGTTGGTGGCAGCAAATACTTCTCTATTGTTTCATAGCTTTAATCCAATAGGATCTGATTGAGGGGTTGGAAAATTTAAGTCCCTATGTTATTTATGAAAGTAACAAGTCCAGAGGAGGTGGTTTTGCATGAAAAGAGACTCATCAAGTGTGCAATGATGGATAAGGCTTCTAAGGGCTACTGAACAGCTAGGCTACCCACAATTCCACCGTACCCAGCCGTCATGTTGTCCTCCTTGCTTCCTTCACAATACATACCTGGTATGTGATGATCTAGTGGTCCTGCAGGTGAACCATAACAGTTCAGATCTAGTGTAAAAAGAATTGCTAGTTTATGATCCGCACTTCATGGGTTTAATTTACCTTAACAAATATTTGAAGAAATTAATGATGTCAACGATATCTTTAAGGAAATTTTAGACATTTTTTGTTTTTTTTTTTTTTTTTTTTAAATTTCTTAGCCCACGTGGTAAATTCTATCCATATGACACTAGCAAATGACAGAAAGTAGGCTGTCCTTGACCTCCAATTTTTATTTTTTATTTTTTTTAAGCCAAGAATATCCAGGCATAACAATCTAAACTAATTACTTGTTGTTTCATTAGACATATAAGATGAACACAGCTATATGAAAAGTTTTTTGTATACTTAAAAATTTGAAATTGAAACCATTTATATAAACGATTAGAGTTTTTTTTTTCTCACACCAATTCTCTAGAGTTCTTTGACCTCCAAACTTTTATAATTAAATTAATTTTTTTTAAAAGCTATATGAAAAGTTTTTTGTATACTTAAAAATTTGAAATCGAAACCATTTATATAAACGATTAGAGTTTTTTTTTCTCACACCAATTCTCTAGAGTTCTTTGACCTCCAAACTTTTATAATTAAATTAATTTTTTTTAAAAAAAAAAATTATGCGTTTTGATAAAAGCAGAAGATACACGCTTTTAGTTAAAAACAATGCTGCAATTCTGTTATCCTTCACTACCTATTCACATTAAAAAGGCATGAAAATAATGTCAACACAACATGTATCTCATATCTCTATCAATGTTATTTTTAATCACAAATAAAAGTATGTAACGTCATTAATGTTGATCAATTATAAGGATACGCACTATCTATTTCGTGTTATTATATTTCTTAAAGTAGTGATTTGCGAAAATAGTTTATTTTGTGGGGGCAAGACGTGAAAGTAAGAAGAAAATGATTGCTAACAGTTGAGAATAGAACGAAAATTATTTTTCCAAACGAAAAAACTCACGTGACTATTTTTGAAATTGACATGGTTGTCCGTTAATAAATAGTTGCGAAATATTTTTACCTAATAGTTTGTGTATTAAGGATTCATGGCTTACAAGAAAGATGCAAACAAGCTCGTCTGATCAAGAATCCAACTGATAATTGATAACTAGTTGGTTCTGTATTCCCAAGTTCTAAAAGTAGGGTTTAAAAACAGCAGATGTGAGGCAAAAAAAATGAGTTAAAAAAATAATTGCTTATATAATGTTAGAAAACATAGCCAATATTAAATAGTATTAAATAGTTAAACACTCATTATAATTAAGGCTTAAGCTTTCGAGTCGATATAATTTTTTGAAATGATATCGAGTTTTAATTATCAAACGATCACAAGTTCGAATCTCATTAACTCTATTTCTCTTTTGAATAATTAAACACAAAGTAATATGAGTATGTAGAAGTTTCAAGTTCAAAAGACTTTTATTTGAGAATGTGTCTTAAAAATTAAAAAAAAAAAAAAATCATTCCTAAGACATCGCCTAAAAGCTTAAACTTATATATAAGTACGGTCTTTCATAAAAAGTTGTTAAAAAACATATAAGTTGTTGTTCCTAGCACAAAAAATAAAAATTAATTAAATAATAAAATTAACACATTAAATAAATAAATATATTGTAAATTAAAATAAATAAAGAATTGGAATTTTTTACCTTGATTTTCAGAGAATTCGATATTAAAATCACACTATCATATTTCACGATGTAATGATGACTCGAATTGACAAAATAGTTTTATCATAATTTTTATGTGATCTGTCTCAAGGTACAATTAGATTGCTTTATTAAGATAATACGTTCATCCGTAGAATTTATAATATATCAAGAATATATTGCACGTCATTTTAAGAATACAACAAGCCTAGCTACCTTATCGTGTCTTAACAAATATGCATTATTTGTAAAATTTGAAACTCTAAAAATAATAGTATCACTCTTACCTCAAGATTAGACAAATAAAGATTATAGGATTTACAAGTGGGAGATTAGAACACACAAAAATGAATTTTTTTTTTTTTTACTTCTTATTTAACTATTTTTTTCTTCTTTAGACAAAAGAAACAAGTATATATGCTACATATAGCTTTATATATATATACACACATCAAATAAACAATAGCCTCTATGTATAAGCATTGTGAAAGATCCGTTTGAAAAAAAATAATTGCAATCATTATTTCCCAAGTGGTAAGTGCAATTAACATTTATATAAACAATAACTTCTTTTATAAAGAATATAATCCTTTCTTAATAAATTAAAATAATATACCTCTTTTAAGCAAAAGCATTTTAATGTACCATATTAAACCATACACTTTATTATTATTATTAGTAGTAGAAAAAACTGTTATAAGATTGTTTTTTCAAAAGTCTTGTGATGTTTGTTGTTTGTTTACTGCTTTGAATTAGAGGATAATGGCAAATCCTCATCTGAGTTTGATAAAATTGGGCCATATCGTACTGATTTTGAGATTAAATCGACCTTTGACCTTCGTAAGAACGTGCAGGCTCGATGGTTTGATGCTATGGTGAGAGTTTGGAGATTAGAGACTATATTTTTTGAATTGGCAAGGGTTATTGGAGTTGATGTATGCATATAGAAAGGCCTCTCATGATGAGGTCATATTAAAGAAAAGAGATGGAAGAGGCAAAGAAAGAAGAGAAGATGAGAGGTATAAAGCTTTTGCTCTATGATGAATTTTGGGTTAGCTTGAGAAAAATGTTATTGGAATTGATTTATTTTTCTTTGTTAAGAAAAAATTAAGGAAAGGGTCCAGCCGATGGTCGGGGTTGGATTTGTTCAACCCGCATGCCCAAGGTTGGGTTGAAATCCAAAAAAACCAAGGAATGGTTGGCTTGTCTAGCAAGCCAGCCCAGTAGCATGGCCTAATAGACCCAGCTAAAAAAATGCTTGATTTTTTTTAATCTCTTTTTTTTTAATATTCACCTTTCTTATAACTTATTTCAGTTAATTTTAATTAATTTTAATTTTAATTTTAATTTTTCTATTTAGATTAGATAACCAAATGGTAGTTAAATTGTCAAGTCTTCTAATATTTTCAAGACTAATAACGATTCTCTATCGATAAAAAATGTAAAACGATAATTAAAAAAAAAAAAAGAGGAAGCATACTTTAATTCTCTTTGCATAGTTAGTTTAGACATCTAAATAATAGGTGAATTATCGAGTCTCTTAACTCTTAGGGATCGATGACAATTTCCCATCGAATCATAAGTCTTCAACGTTTAAATTGGTTGAAAAATTAGAGTTCAATTCGAAAATAACCTAACATAGAATAAACTACTTTAGGAGATGAATTTAGGACTAAACTAGACATGATACTTTTTTTTTTTAGTAAAGGGTGTCTCTAGGTAATCGAAATCTTCTCAAAACAGAATCAACTCCTTATCTAATAATCTCTCGCACCGGTGTTTATTTTAGGTTCATAGTTCCTTTAATAACGAGTTGCGACTTAATAATAACTCGCATCTCCAAAATAACTTAAACGTGATGTGAATCTTTGAAAACCTAGATTTTTTTGAGAGTCTTATCCGACGCATATCGACAATTAGTATAGATACGTGTCATGTGGTCTATAAATTAATGGTGCGAGCTGCCTGTGATAATTCAGTTTCGTGACATAAGAATTAACTTATATGCGTGTTGACATTCACTAAAATTAATCTTTGTATGTTTGGTATTTATCCGGCTAAGACTAGATGCAATTCTACTAAATTGTAGCACTTCAAGTAAGGTTGGTATAAACTTTCAACAGGGTTGGTATAAACTTTCAACAGCTCCTTGTAGTTTGTAGAATTTTTTACTGAATCTCCCAACAATATATGGTAGTTTTCAGTATCTCTAAACTGTTAATTCTACTAGCTGAAATTCAAAGATTTCAAGAAAATAAAACTCCTGTTGTTGGGTAAATTGAGAGGCACCCTAAAGTATTGCGGTGGTTTGTGATTTTCACAATAGATGAAACTAAGAATAATGGTAAAAATAGTGAAAATTATCATTTCTCCTCAAGAGAAGTTGTATACTTGGATAGCAAGCTGAACAAATGTTTAATGCAGAACGATGTAAAAACTTTATTTCATACGATTTTATTAATAGATAACATCAATCGGAGAGACAACATTTAAACATTGAAAATTAAGGACTATGGGAACAATCCAATACATGGATTATATCCATTAGAGACTAGAACAAAGAGAAAGTAATATATGTGTAATCAAGAACTAGCTTCTTACGGATAAACTTCAATGAGAGATCTTAAACCCAGGATTGGGGTTATCTTAAAGTTACTGAAGCCGGCATCAGAGAATAGTTTAGCCAATTCTGTCTTGTTTCTTTCTCTTCCTGTGTACAAGGTCATCATCAGCATATCTAATAAGAGCTGTGTCTCAGTTGACTCTTCTACCTCTTTATTGTTCTCCACCACCATATCTATGATAATCACCTTCCCACCTTCTCTTCCCTTAATTGCCTCCTTGCATTGCTCAAGTATTTTCACACATTCCTCGTCATTCCAGTCATGAAGAATCCACTGCGTGTCACCAATAATTAAATGAAAACATGTTGTTAAAAGAGTTAATAGCCTAGACAGAAATAAACCATCAGATTTTGCTAGTTTTTATGTTATGCATAGCTAAGAAAAATTATTTTACCTTCAGAAGCATTGAGTCTGCTTTAGGAACTGCCTTGAACATGTCTCCACCAAGATATTTCAAATTTTCACTGCCTTCCAAATTAGCTACCACATGTGGGAGATCAAAGACGGTGCAATCTAAGCGTGGGAATGCCTGAGCTATTGCCTTGGCCACAGTTCCAGTGCCACCCCCAACATCAACCAATGAATTCAAACCTTCAAAAACCCCTTTGCACTCATTTATCATCACACTCGCAACCAATCGAGCATCACTTGCCATGGCTTCATTGAAGAAATCATTGAGCCTTGGTTCTTGGCCAGCATACTCCCAAATGGTCCTTCCATGGGCCGTTTGGAATGGAGAAGAAACATCATTTTTGAACCAAGCGCTCACGTAATGCCATGGTTCTGTTAAAATTGGATCAAGCATGGCTAGTATCAATGGCGTCATACTGAAAGGGTTGTCCTTAACAAGGAGCTGAGAAGCATTGGTGAGAACATAGCATTCTCCTTCATTATTTGCCCCAACATTTTGCTGTGCAAAGAAACCAGAATGGACCAAAATGCGCATGAGGCGATAGACACTGTGGGCTTTGGTTGGGTGAATAGGTAAGGCAGCAACAAGTTCAGAAAGGGGCATGGGTTTTCCATGATTGTGGATTACATTAGGTATGCCTAGTTGAATTGCACATTTTAGAGACATTGAGTTTATGAAGTTGAAGATGTGGTTCCAAACGTGGGCTTGAGCTTGAAGTAGCTCAGCACAATGCAGGTTTCCATCAGCCATTTCGATTAGGCTGTCTCGAGCTTATTTTAAGGTTTTACGCTTTTAAGGTTTGATCTGTCCTATGAAGTTGTTAGGTTCCTTTTAGAGTGCGTGGCCTATATATAGTAGTGGAAGCGACGCTGTTCAATCAAAGCGGAAGACAAAATGCAAGATTAGGATCAAATTAGAGATGGACTAAAAACATGGTACACGAGGGCTGCTTAATATTATATTCAGGGTTAAGATCACGTTTCCTATCAGATGTCATGAGGATTGGTTATAGTGACATCCGACTAATTCATTGCCAGAAGGAAAGAGAAATTAAATTAAAAAGACAGAAATTTTGGAGTGGAATTTAGCAATTCAGTACGGTAGTATGAATGGTTAAGATTGGTAATGTTGGTGGAATCTTCCTGTCGTCGATGACAAATTGACAAAGGGATTCATTTACTCTCCAGTTTCATCATTGTCGTCATCCTCCAAAAGTAGAGGTTTACATTATGCATTTTGGGCAACTACAAATAACGCAAAATACATGCTCAATTTCCTGCATGTTTTCATTCACTCATTTTTCATGATCAATCGAGGGTATTGATCATCACTATTATATGGCTACAAATTAGTGATTCCCAGCTGCAGGTTAATCTGAATTAATGAATGGAATTGTTTGAAGATTTTTATCTTCTTTCATTCTACGTACTTACAGTTAATATATATATATATATATATATATATATATATATATATATATATATATATATATATATTCTCGAATAAAACTCAATATCGTTTTTGTTTGAAAGTTAGATCTCTTTCTTATTTTTATCAATTTCTCAAAAAAAAAAAAAAAAGTAATTTTTTTTTTTTAAAAGAAAAATTAAAGAAACAAGGCTAATTAGTTATAAAGTATTTTGAGCTATTAGTCAAAAGAAAAAAAAATCCCTAATCTTCTCATTTTTTGTAATTTAGGTCTCTTACCTTTTTTTTTTTGGTCTACAATTAAGATCCTCCATCCTGCTGATCAATTTCAGATGATATTACATATATATATATATAGTCATTAAAATAAAGACACATATTCTAAAAGTCTTATATATAAAATATGTATCGTTATTTTATGCCACCACATGTATTTAATATGATTTGAGATTAGCCAATAAAACAAAAAAACTTAATTGCAAATCCAATAAAAAATAAAAAATTTTTACTTTCTCTCTTACAATTCATGATATTTCACAACCAATTAACCATGAAGCAATTGAAGAGTTATTACACTCGTCATTTTTTTGTTTTTTTTTTTTTAATGTATTCCAGAAGATTTCGAGATCAGATATTGACAGAAGAAAAGTAGTGAATGGTATAGATTTTCTTTGTTTATCTTCTCTAGCATTGATTTGATTTCTCCAAATTAATTAATGGCTAATAAGTGATAACAACCCCGTCCCTTTCTTCAGCAGAACCGTCATCAAACTTTTTTTACGGAAAATAAATATTAAATTTTTTATACTCACATGCTTAAAGAATTAATATTGGAAGTCGAGTTATCGTGGGTTGTTTAGACGTAAAAACAATGGTGTCACATTGAATTATTGCTCTAAAATTAATTAATAACAGCTAGAAAGTGATAATTAATTTATGCATTAAGACCTGGTCAAAAAATAAAACTCCTCAAAAGCCAATTCATCCTCTGGTTGTTTCTTTTGTACTCTTATCTCCTTTTTCTAATAATCCAATCGAACAAAAAGAATGGAAATAGATCGAAAAAAAAATAACATGCAAGGTCTATATTCAGAAAAAAAAAAAAAAAAAGAATGAACTTTTAAACATAAAATGAAGAGTAGATAGTTAAAGAAATAAAAGCATTAATGGTTAACCATTACTATGGAAATCTATCGCTGCAAACCCAACACAACAAAACAAAAAAACAAAAAAACATTTTTGTGGCTCAAGGACACAAAAGACACAGAAGGACACACATACTTTAAATTCTTTTCGTCTTTTGATTTTTTGATTTTTATTTTTTCCTTCTTACAAAGTGCTCCTATTGTTTTTCCCGAAAGTATGTCTCGCACAAAGAAAGAATTCAAAGCAAAAAAGTATTAAAAAAAAACTTTAGGATTTTAGATTTATGAACTCAATATTTTTATTATAATGAAAATATTTGAAGATGTAAACAATATTCATGAGAAACTAATCTAAAAATCAAATTACAGTTTTTTTTTTTTTATAAAAAGTAACATGTACTAAATTTTACTCAAAATAGCATTCCAATCTTAGGTGTATTTTTTTTTTTTTTTTTTTTTTTTGAGAAGGATATTCTAATAGTAGTTCTTACTCTTATTTGTTATATATATATATGAAACAATGTTTTTTTTTTTTCTATTTTAAAGTTAATGGTATTTTTTTAGGGTAGTTTTGGCACATTAAAAAATCTCTATGTGATCTAGTTTTAAACAAATCAT